CCCCGCGGGTGGGTTCGCGGCGGCTCCCGGGCGGGTCACGGCCCCGGGACAGGGGCTGGCGGGGCGGAGGCGGCTTCCCGGGCACCCTGGCGCCACCGGTCTGGGGCAAATGACATTACCGGGGCCTGCGCCTGTAAATCACGGCGGCACCGGGGGCTGCAGCTGCCGCACCGGGGGCGCTGCACACCCCGGGGCACCGCAGGCACCGGGGGGCACCGGGTGGTCCCAGGCTCGCCGCAGGGTGCGGTGCCCGTCCCTGGGGCCGCGGGAAGCGGGGCTGCACGGGCACACGCCCTGTGCCACCCTCGGCCATGCCCACAGCCCACCCCGGCACCGGGAACGGCCGAGCTGCTCCTTGCACACCGGGGGCACCGGCGGAGCCTCGTGTGCCCAGAAGGGGAGGGGGGCACAGCAGCGGGACCCTGCCCTGCAGGCGCCGCGGCTTCCTGGCCTTTCCTGCTCGCAGCCCGGCAGGTGCCGGCACAAATCCCAGCGTTCCCCCTGTGGCTTTTCCACCTGGAAAGAGCCCCCGGCTCCGGGTGTGCTGCGGCAAAGGGACCCGCTGGGGTGCAGCCATGGCGGCGGCAGTGGCAGTGACAGCGGTGACAGTGTTGGTGACAGTGGCAGTGGGAGGAAATGGCCGGTGCCGGAGGAGGAGGCGGCAGCAGGTTAATTGAACCCGGAGCAGCAGGCAGATGTTGCCGTGCCCAGGGGCTGGAATCTGCCGGGCTGGGAGATGGATTGGGGGGCTGGGACGGGGCCCGGGGCAGTGCGGGCTCTCCCGGCGCCTGCTTGCGCCAGGGCCCGCCCCATGCCCGCGGGGGTCTGCGAGCGGCACCCCCGGCCGGGGCAGCCCCCCCTGCCCGGCACCCTCCAGCAGCACGGCCAGGGCTGCCCTGGGAGGGAGGGGAAGAACTGAGGGTGCTCAAGGAGTCCTGAGCCCCTTCCCACCCTGGCTGTGGGTGTAGGGTGTTTCCCTCCCAGGGACCCCACTGGCCAAGGTGCCACCACCTTGTGCCGCTGGCTCTGTCTGCCCACCTGACAGGTGTCCCTGTGCCTGCTCCGGGATCCCCTGAGCCACCGTGGGGACCAGGCAGGGTCCTTGCACCCCGAACCCCCCAGTGGGCCAGTGCAGACCCTTCCTCGTTTCACGGCCACAGCAGGGACCTCGGTGTGTGCCCCCTCCCTCCCCGAGGGACTGGGCCTGCCGGTTTTCCTGGGTGGCAGTGACAGCTGGAGGGCATGCGGCATTAAAAGGGCATTTGCCCAGTTCCAGCAGGCCTTGAGCCAGTGCGGCACCAGGCGCTGCCACCGCCAGCATCTCCCCGCCCCGCGCCCTCCAGCCCCTGTGCCCCGGGGGCAGGGGGTCACACACGGGGTCTGCGGGCTCCGGCCCTGCCCGCCCCGCCACGGCGCTGCTGCCCGAAGCTGCGGGGGCTCCGTGCCCCGTCCCCCACCGCGGCCCCGGGGCTGCCGGTGCAGCTGCGCGGTGCCGCGTCCCCGGTGCCGGCCGTGCCGGTGCTTCCGTCCCCCACGGGAACGCCGCGGGCTCCGAAGCTGCTGCCGGGGCGGGGGTCCCTGCCTGTCCCCGGTGGCCCGGCCATCACGGCGGTGGCGCGGCGGGGACCTGGCAGGGCCCCACGCTCCCACCGGCCAGAGGCTGCCGCGCACCCGCTCCCGCCCGCTCCCCCCCGTAATCTCATTACCGCTGGACGTCCCCTTCTTCCTCCCGCTTCCCCCCAAACCCGCTGGCAAACTGGAGGGACAGTCAGCTCCTCTCTGGCTGCTGGGTTAATTCTGGGCTAATTAGATGAACCAGCCCAGATTGGATTACTTTAGCCTGCATTTGGTCCTCCAGTCCTTGGCTTGCGGCTCCCGGGGGAGCTGCTGGCGCCTCCTGCCTCAATCAGACACTTCTTAACCGCATGAAACACTCCCGGTGCCCCCCGCCGCCCGCCCGCCGCGGGCGCCGGCACCCGGACGGGGTGCGCGGGGTGCGGCGGCAGCAGCCGGTGGGCGCGGTGCCCACCCCGGCCCGGCTGGCACGCCGGGAGGGCTGCCGTGAGGATGGATGGGGATGGCACGGAGCCGGGATGGGAGCGGCGCGGGGTTGGGATGGGGTCACCGTGGCCGCGGATGGCTCCCGCGGACCCGACGGCCGAGTCGCCCGCTCGGACGTCACGGTGGCCCTCGGCGACTGCGCGGTGTCCTCGGGGAGGAGCCGGGTGCCACATGGGTGCGTGGGCGGCTGCACGGTGACGCCAACACCCGGCTGCTGGGGGCTGCTCCCCCCGGGCTGCAGCCCCTGCGCCGGGGGACGGGGGGTACTGCGGGTCCGGACTAGGGGTGCAGCACGGGCCACCCCCCTCAAACCCTCCGGGGAGCCCAGATCCGTGGTCTGGGAGCAGGCTGGGGGCACAGTGTGGCCCGGGGGGCTGCGGAGGTGATGGATGCCAGCGGAGCGGGAGCTGAGCCCCCGGGCTGTCGGTGGGGGGTGGAGCAGGGCACGGGGGGTGCTGTGGGAGCGGGGGGCACACAGGACCCCCACCCCTCGGGCTGCAGCTCCAGCCGCTCTGGTGAGAGGGAGCAGTGCCCAGGAGCCACGGGACACGTGGCTGGGCACCCCGGTCCCCTCTGCCACGCCGGGTGCCCTCAGGGTACCCCACACCCGCCTCACCCGGGTCCGACACCGCCCGGGGACTTTTGGGGGGGGTCTGCCCGTCCTGGTGGGCTGGTGCCCCTCGCGGGGCCAGAGCATGCCGGTGGCTGGTGGCCGCTGACAGCCACGTCGCTCAGGGCCTCGTTATCGAAGGTTAATTGGATTCTGCAGCTGTACTCGGTGCATTAGGCAGGAGCTCAGTCCATGAGCACCCAGCCCCCGCTGCCCTGCAGGGACCCCTGCCCACCTCAGAGGGATTAATGGGGGACCCCTATCCACCCTGGGAGACCCTGCCCGATTTAACAGGGACCCCTGTCTGCCCTGGGGGTCCCCTGCCTTCCTTGGGGGGTCCCTGTTCACCTGACCTGGTTGTGCTGCCCGGCACCGCTGCGGCCGTGAGCGCGTCCAGCCCCAGCCCAGCCCCAGCGCGGGGTCCGGCCGGGAAAGCGCCCGGCAGCGCTTCCCAGAAGGAGCCGCCCCGGCCGTGCCGCGGAAATGGAGCTGAATATCTGAGCAGGGCTGAGCTAAAAGCCTCGGCCCCGCAGCCCCGCGCAGCCCCGGCGGCTCCCGCCATCAATTATTAACGGCGAGATGGATCCGCGGCTCCGGGAGTACCGGCTGCCGGGACCCCAGCCCCGGGACGGGCTCTCCGCCCTCGGTCCCGCGGGGCCCGCGCCAGCGGCACCCACGGAGCCCGCTCCTCGCCCGGCCGGGACTCGCGGTGCCGGTGCTGGGTGCGGTGCCGGTTCTCCTGAGGGCGGCGGCGGCGGAAAGCGATGCTGCCCCGCCGTGGGGCCGCGCTGGCCCCGCTGTGACCCCCGGCCCTCCCCGGATGGCTCCTGGCAGGTACAGACGGGACCGGACCCTCCCCAGCCGGGGGTCACCGGCCCCGCCGCGCTCCCCGGGGGCGCGGGCAGGGGGTGGGCGGGCGGCGGGGCGGGGGCTGGTCCGGAGCCTCTGCCCGCCGGCACCGGGAGGGGCTCGGGTTGCTCCCGGGGCTCGGCCACACACCGGGACGAGGGGCTGGCACCGGGGTCACCGGGGCTCGGCCGGTGCCAGGCTTAGACCCTCCGGTGGGGCAGCGGGGACAGCGCCACTGGGCTGGGCACACTGAGGGGTGGAGTGAGTGCTGTGACCCGATCCGGGACCGGAACCACGACCGGGACGCATCCAGGAGCCCCAAACCCGCGCAGTCAGTCCCTGGCCGTGGAGGAGCCGGTGCCAGAGCTCCCTGCTGGGGTGGTGGGCGCCAGCCCCTGCTCGGGGGTCCCGCCGTGTTCCTCTGCCCGCTCCCCCTCCCTGGCATGGACCAGCCTTCCCTGGGGTCCGGGAGGTGGCACGGTCCGTGAGGAGCGTGGGGGGCTCTGAGGGGCCCTGGGGATCTCGGCTCGGCTCCGCATTAGCGCGGCCGCTGCTTCCCCTGAGCCGAACATTCATTAGCGTGGCTCCGGCTGCGCCGGGTGGGGCCGCGGGCTGCTCCGCCGGCACCCCAAACTGCAGCACCCCAAACTGCAGCACCTGAACACCCGACACCCCAAACTGCCAGCACCCCAACAGCCCCAACTGCAGCACCCCAAACTGCCAGCACCCCAACACCCCAAACTGCAGCACCTCAACACCCGACAACCCAAACTGCCAGCACCCCAAACTGCCAGCACCCCAATACCCCAAACTGCCAACACTCCAAACTGCAGCACCCCAATAGCCCAAACTGCCAGCACCCCAAACTGCCAGCACCCAGCACCCCAAACTGCAGCACCCCAAACTGCAGCACCCCAACACCCGACACCCCGAACTGCCAGCACTTCAACCCTGCCAGCACCCCAGCGCCGGACACCCCAAATATCAGCACCAGCGCGACACCCCAAAGTGTACCACGCTGGTACCCCAGCGACACCCCAACCCTGCCTGAACCCCAGCACCCCGAAGTGCCCCGTACCCCGAACTGCCAGGCGAACACCCGACCCTGCCGGTGCCTCTGAATCCCCGAGCCCAGCCCTGCCCTGTGTCACCCCGGTGTCCCCTCACGAATCCTCACAGACCCCCCGAGCCCCCTCAGATCTCCCGCACCTCACGGGCCCCCCGTAACCCACTCCGCCGAGTCCTCAGTGCGTACCCCGCGCCCCACCCGGGCTCCTCGTCCCCTTTGTGCCCCCTCAGACCCCTTCGTGTCCCCTCGGTCCCCTCAGGCCCCGGGTCCCTCCCGTGCCCCCCGCCCCTCCCGTTCCCCCGCGTTGCTCTGCTGCCCTCAGGCGGCGCTCCGCGGCACCGCGCGCTCGCAGAGCCCTCTCTGATTGGCGGCCGCTGCTGTCCGTCAAGAGCGCGCCCTCTCGCTATTGGCCAGTGGCGGGAACGCCCTGCCTTAAACACGGCGGGTCCGGTGGCGGCGGCTCCCGGCGGGTCCCCCTCACGGGCGAGGTCGGGAGGTCTCGGGATCCCGGGCCTCTCCCCGTGGGTCGTGGGGAAGGAGCAGCACAGGGCCGAGCTTGCGCTGCCCGCCGCGACTCGAGGCGCGCGGGGCACGCTAGGAGTTGTAGTCCCGCCGCTCGCCGCGGCCCCGCCCCGAACACGGAAGTGCGCGAGGCCACAGGCGGAGGCGGCTCTAAGATGGCGTCGCCTCCTCAGGGGGGCCCGATGGCCATCGCCATGCGGCTGCGGAACCAGCTCCAGGCCGTCTACAAGATGGACCCGCTGCGGAACGAGGCGAGCGGCCGTTCGGGGAGGGCGGGAGGCACCGGGAGGAGGCGGTGGCGGCGACACCGGGGGCCAGCTCGGGAGGGGACGGGAGGTGCCGCCGCGGGGCCGCTGGGGGGCGCTGTGAGACCGAGGGGCGGTGCGGGTGGGCGGGGCTAAAGGAAGGGGGCGTGGCCAAGGGCCGGGGCAGGCGCTGGGCTGGGGGCGTCCCCGGAGCCCCAAAATCCCATTTTCTGACATAAAAAGGCAAAGCAGGGTATCCCGCCCCCTTAAAATCTCGTTTTCTAGCGTAATGATGGAATACAGTGTGGTCGGTCCTGTTTTCTGGTATGTTAAGGCAATACAGGGGGTGCAGCACCCCAAAATCCTGTGTTCTGCCATAGTACTGGAAGACAGAAGGCACAGCCTCCCCATGTCCTGTTTTCTGGCTTAGTAAGAGAAAGCAAGAGGAGTGGCCCCCCAGAGTCACATTTTCTGGCATATTAAAGTAAGACAGTGAAGCCAGCCTCTCAAAATCCCATTTTCTGCTGTGATAATGGAAGACAGGGGGCAATCCCTACAAAATCCCGTTTTCTGACAGGGGTGTCCAGCCCCTCAGAATCTGTTTTCTGGCATATTGAAGCAAAACAAGAGGTGCAACTCCCCAAAACCCCATTATTTTAGCATGTTAAAGGAATGGCAGGAGAAGCTCCTTGGGCACAGGGGTTTCAGGTGAAGGAAGAGAGGGGTCTCGGGGGTGACAGGTGGGGGTGGTCTTGGTGCCAGTGCTCTGGGTGACAGTGAGGTGTCCCCGCAGGAGGAGGTGAAGGTGAAGATGAAGGAGCTGAACGAGCACATCGTGTGTTTCCTGTGCGCCGGCTACTTCATCGACGCCACCACCATCACCGAGTGCCTGCACACCTGTGAGCGTCCCCACCCGGCTGGGGGGGGCCTGGGGGGGCTGTGGGGGCGCAGGGCCGCCCCTCCCACTCCTGTCCTTGTCCCCAGTCTGCAAGAGCTGCATCGTGAAGTACCTGCAGACCAGCAAGTACTGCCCCATGTGCAACACCAAGATCCACGAGACGCAGCCGCTGCTCAACCTCAAACTGGACAGGGTCATGCAGGACATCGTCTACAAGCTGGTGCCTGGCCTGCAGCACAGTAAGGGGACACGGGGGACATGGCCTGCAGCACAGCAAGGGGACACGGGGGAGCTCAGGGGACGTGTATGGCTGTGTTTGAGGGTCCCAGGACAAGGGAAGAGATGAGAATTTTGACTCCATGTTTCAGAAAGCTGATTTATTATATCAGTATATATTTTATATTAAAAATGCTATACTAAAAATTGTCCTAAAAAGAATCATTCCTTTCCTGTCCTTTCCAGACTTCTGGAAAGGACAGGAGAGGAATGATAACAAAAGCTCCTGACTGACTCTGATAGTCCGAGCCAGCTGACTGTGATTGGCCATTAATTAGAAACAACCAACATGCACCAATCACAGATACACCTGTTGCATTCTACAGCAACAGACAATTACTGTTTACATTCTTTCCCGAGGTTTCTCAGCTTCTCAGGAGAAAAATCCTGGCAAAAGGATTTTTCAGAAAATGTCATGGCTACAGACAGGGGCTGCAGCACAGGATGGGGGACACGGGGACAGGGATGGGGAGCTGGGGACAGGATGGGGATGCCACACAGGTGTGTGACACGGGCTTGGTGCAGTGGAGGGAGGGAGGACAGCACCCTCAGGGGCAGCTGGTGTGACCCTGAGCCCTTGTCCCCTGCAGGTGAGGAGAAGCGGATCCGGGAGTTCTACCAGTCCCGAGGCCTGGACAGGGTGACACAGCCCAGCGGTGACGGTGGGACAGGGGGGCACGGGGGGCAGCCAGCTGCGTGCTGGGGGGGTGTCGGGGGCGCAGGGGGCTGACGGTGCCGCCTGTGTCCCCAGACACGGTGGGGGGTGACCCCATGGGGCTCCCCTACAGCACCTTTGACCACTCGCGCGCGCACTATTTCCGCTACGACGAGCACGTCTCGCTCTGCCTGGAGAAACTGAGGTGAGTCCCCCCTCAGTGGGGTGGGCAGGGGACACAGGGGACACCGGGCGTGGCCCCCGACCCGTGAGACCCTGGACACGTGTCCCTTTGTCTTCCCGCCACAGCTCCAGCAAGGACAAGAGCAAGGCCATGCTGCAGGTGAGTGGGGATCCCTGCAGACCCCAGCCCTGACCCCCAGCTGCCACCCTGGCCCTGGCAGGGGTGTGTGGGGTCCCTGGAGACCCCCACAGCCCCCAACCTCTGTGCCCCTCGCAGCAGAAATACGTGAGGTGCTCGGTGCGGGCACAGATCCGACACCTGCGGAGGGTCCTGTGCCACCGCCTGGGGCTGTCCCTGCAGCACGTGAGTGGGGGTCCTGGGGAGGGGGGGCCCAGCCCCCGGGGGTGTCCTGGCCCCCCTGATGCAGCCCCCCTGTGCAGGTGCAGATCCTGTTTGACAACGAGCCCCTCCCCGACCACATGACAATGAAGCAGCTCTGGCTCTCACGCTGGTTTGGCAAGGTGTGCGTCCATCATAGCCTCTGATTTTGGGGTTCACCCCGTGGGGGGGGTGGTGGGATGACCCTCTGGGGGTGGTTCAGGCAGTGTGGGGTTGGGGGACTGAGGATCTTTAATGTCAGTGGTGATCTGGGGGGTTCCTGGCCCTGCATGGCTCAGGCAATGGGGGGTCCCCAAAGGGGTTGGCCAGATTTGGGGTGCAGCCCCAGGGGAGTCCCTGGGCTGGGACTGGGGTCCCTGTACCGGGGGATTTCTGGGCTGGGGTTTGGGGTCTCTACCCCAAGGGGATCTTGGGCTGGGGTTTGGGGTCATGGACTGGGGTTGGGGAGTCCCTGGGTTGAGGTTTGGGGTCCCTGCCCTAGGAGGGAGTCCTGGGCTGGGGTTTGGGGTCTCTACCCCAAGGGGATCTTGGGCTGGGGTTTGGGGTCATGGACTGGGGTTGGGGAGTCCCTGGGTGGAGGTTTGGGGTCCCTGTCTGGGGAGGGTTCCCTGGGCTGGGGTTTGGGGTTGTGGGCTGGGATGGGGGGGTCCCTGTCTGGGAGGGTTCCTTGTGCTGGGGTTTGGAGTTCCTGCCCTGGGGGCAGTGTCTGTGCTGGGATCTGGGGTCTCTGCCCCAAGGGGGGGGGGTCCTTGGCTGGAATCCCCCAGCCCTGACCCCCCCTTGCCCCACAGCCTGCGCCCCTCCTGCTGCACTACAGCATCAAGGACAAGAGGAGGTAGGGGTGGGGGGTGGGCACTGCCCCCCAGTGCAGCCCTGCTCCTGCCCCCCACCCCATAACTTATACCCCTGTTTGAATTTATTTTTGGAATAAAATTGTGAAAAAGCCCCCTTGAGTCCCTGCTTTGTCTGGGGGGGTTGGGGGCTGCTGTGGGGGTCTCAGGAGGGTCCCCTCTGCTCCAGCAGCTCCAGGAGCTGGGGGCTGCGTGTGGGGATGCAGTGACCCCTGGGTGGGCTGAGTCAGGGAGTGCACTGCGGGCAGTGGGGCTGTGCAGCCCCCCCGGTCCCCGTTCCCCCGCAGCACCGGGGGTCTCGCAGCCCCCCAGCCCCACGGGCTCTCCCACATCGGTCCCGTCTCGGTCCCGTCAGGGCCGCCTGGCACATGTCCGGCCCCCCGCCCCCATAATGAGCCTTAATGAAGTCATCGGGCCTTTGATTGCCGGGGGAGCCCCGCGCGGCCCTAATTAGCCCGGGACAATATTCCGCCATCTGGGCCCTCCCGCGGCGGCCACGGGCGCAGCTGCGGGCGGGGGTCCCGGGGGCGTCCCTGGGGTGGGGCCGGGACCCACGGCTGCGGGCGGAACAGGTGCCGGAGCCCGAGGATCCCGGGGATCCCGGGAACGCGGCTCCGGAGGGCTCACAGCCCGCCGGTGCTGACCGCGCTCCGTTCCCCGGCGCGGTGCTGTCGGTACTGGGCTGTACCGGGCGGCTGTCGGGGATCTCCCCTCCATCCTCGTCCCTGAACCGCGTGTCCCATCCTGTGGTGGGCACGGTTCAGGCCCCCGCGGGATGGATGTGGCACCGGGTGTGCCTTGGCCCGTCCTTCATCCCGGGCCCCGCTCTGAGCTCGGCGCTCGGTGCCCGCGCCGGAACCCCCGCGCCGCAGCCGCCGCCGCCGCCGGGGGATCCGGTTACGGCCCGGCCCGGCCCAGCTGTCGGCCATCGCTCACCGGGCGGGGGGCGGCGGGGCTCGCCTGCCCAAAGCCCCCGCAGGGCCGAAGGGAAACGCGGGGGCTGCGCGGCCATCCGGGCGTGGGGATCCCAGCGGGGCTGGTGGGTGGAATGGGGGCTCCAAGTGGGGTGCAGGATTAGGGTCCCAGCCGGAGAGGGAGGGGTGGGATTGTGGAGTGGGGATCCCAAACGGGACTGGAGGAGCAGGATGGGGGGCTCAGTAGAGCTGGAAGGCTTGGGGTGCAAGGTGGGAGTCCCGAGCAGGGACAGAGGGTTTGGGGTACGGGTTGGGTGTCCCAGACAGGGCTGGAGGCGTGGGGGAGCAGGATGGGGATCCCAAACAGGGCTGGGGGTCCAAACGGGGGCTGCCTGTGGGGGAGTGGGCGTGTAGGTGGATGAAGGGACAGACGGATGGATGGACGGACGGACGGATGCCGGGGATAGCGAGGCGGGGGCTGTCCCTGTGTCTGTCAGCAGCCAGTTGCAGACGGCAGAGCAGGGAGCCCCCCACCCCAGCCCTGCACCCCCTCCCTTATCAGTGCCGGCCCCGGAGGAGCCTAATTCAAACCAACTGCGGGGCTGACGTTGGTAAATGAGCCCCCCGCCCACGGCCTGGCCCCAGCGCCCAGGGCAGGGGAGAGAGCGGGGCGGGGGGCTCCAGCGGGGCAGCGGCAGGTACGGGGGGATGTTCCCGTGCCCCCCAGGCGCGGTCAGCCTGAAGACACTTTGATGTCCCCCCGGCCCGTCATGCTCCGAGGGGGCTAATGCCCCCGGCTCCAGCCCGGCAGAGAGGGAAACCTGAGCCCCCAGCCCCTGTCCTTAACCTGGGGGGCTCTCGGGGGTCCCCAGAGGATCTGGGCACGGCACGGACCCACGTGAGCAGGGGGACGGGACCCTTAAGGGCGCCTTGGCTCTGTGGGACCCCCAGGAGTCCCTCTGGGGATGGTGGCACCCCCAGCCTGGAGGGTCCCAGGGCTCGGATGCGGGGTGAGAGGGGAAGGGACCCACCCATGGTGTCGCAGGGATGTGCCAGGGGGCTACAGGAGCAGTACGGGGTGGGGGTCTGTGGGAGGGACCCCAAAAAGAGACTCCTCAAACCCCCCACCCTCCACAGCCCTGCAGCTGCTGTGCCTTTGGGGGGCACTGGGGGCACAACACAGCCCGGGGAGGGGGCACAGCCTCACCCCTCCCTCCTGTGCCAGTGGCCCCAAGCGCTGCCCCCTCCAACTCCGCACCCCCCACCCCTGCCCCCTCCAAAGACCCCCAAAACCCACCAGCCCCACGGGCTCTCACTCTGGGGCTCACCCTAACTCTGCCCTGCCCCGGGGATGGGCACAGGGGGGGACCCCGCCGTGCGGGACCCCCCGGCCGTGCGGGACCCCCCGGCTGCACCACTGCCGGCTGAGGGGCCATGCCCGGCCTCTGGAACGCGGTGGGCACCGTGGGGACACGTGTGGCACTGTATTGTCCCGCATCCTGGCCTCCCACCCCAGGGCACCCATGGCAACACACAGCCATCCATGCCCGTGCCGTGCCATGCCATGCCATGCCATGCCATGCCATGCCCTCCATGCCCAGCGGCACGGGCACGCCGGGAATGAGCTGTCACGACAGGAATGAGCTGTCACGCCGGGAATGAGCCGCCGCCCCAGCGCGGGGACGTTCCCTGTAACGAAGCGCCGGGATGAGACTGATGAGAAAACCCAAACGCAATTTAATTCCTGTCACCGCCTGAGCGGCTCTAAATGACGCCAGGGCCTTGTGACGGGCCCACGCTGAGCCCCCTGCCCCACGCCGTGCCCTCCCCACCCCCGGCCAGTGCTTCCTGCCCGCTTCCTGAGGATGTGGGCACCGGCCCTGGCACCGGGATGCCCGCCGGCGTGGGAAGGGGGAAGGGGGGCACCTTCCTGCGGACAGAGGGGTCACGGCGGGGCCTGGGAAAGCGCCGCCCCCGGGACCCCCCAGCCCCCGCAGCCGCCCGGAGGAGCCCCGCGGGGAGTGGCAGCACTCGTGGCACCGAGGAGTGGCACCGAGGAGTGGCACCCGGCCCTGCCACCGGCATTCCCCGCTGGCGCGGGGGCCGGGGGAGCGGGCTCGGGGCACCTCCTCGCGTCTCCCGGGTTGGTTTGGCCGCCGGGGTTTCCTCCAAGCCTTTGTCTGGAGGGTGCGGCCCCCCCGAGCCCCCCGGCACGGCCACACCGGGACCGGCGGCGGGGCAGGGCCCCCAGGAGGCGGCGGGGGCTGCGGGATGGGGGGGGAGAGGGGATGGGATAGGGGATGTGGGGTATGGGATAGGGGGGTAGGATATGGGATAGGGGATTTGGGATATGGGATATGAGATACAGGATGTGGGATAGGAGATTTGGGATATGGGATTTGGGATATGGGATGTGGAGTATGGGATGTGGGATATGGGATTTGGGATAGGGGATAGGGGATATGAGATTTGGGATATGGAGTATGGGATGTGGGATATGGGGATAGGGGATATGGGATTTGGGATAGGGGATAGGGGATATGAGATTTGGGATATGGAGTATGGGATGTGGGATATGGGGATAGGGGATATGGGATTTGGGATAGGGGATAGGGGATATGAGATTTGGGATATGGAGTATGGGATGTGGGATATGGGGATAGGGGATATGGGATTTGGGATAGGGGATAGGGGATATGAGATTTGGGATATGGAGTATGGGATGTGGGATATGGGGATAGGGGATATGGGATTTGGGATAGGGGATAGGGGATATGAGATTTGGGATATGGGGTATGGGATATGGAGTATGGGATGTGGGATATGGGGATAGGGGATATGGGATTTGGGATATGGGATGTGACATGGGATGGGATGGGATATGGGATAGGGGATTTGGGACATGGGACATGGGATGGGACATGGGATGTGGCATGGAGTGCACAGGGCGTACAGGTGGGCACAGAGGGCAGGCGTGGGTGCCCTTGGGGGCTGCCAGCCTGCTCCCAAGGGCCTGTGGATTGGGTGCTGCTGCCCTGACGTGGATGCTGGTGCTGTGGTGTGGGTGTCGCAGCAAGAGTGCCACGATGTGGGATGTGGGATAGGCGATAGGATATATGGGATATGAGATGTGGGATGCAACATGGGATGGGATATGGGATATGGGATAGGGGATTTGGGACATGGGACATGGGATGGGACATGGGATGTGGCATGGAGTGCACAGGGCGTACAGGTGGGCACAGAGGGCAGGCGTGGCTGCCCTTGGGGGCTGCCGGCCTGCTCCCAAGGGCCTGTGGATTGGGTGCTGCTGCCCTGACGTGGATGCTGGTGCTGTGGTGTGGGTGTCACAGCAAGGGTGCCACAGTGCCAGTGCCACCCCCTGGTGCTGTGGCACGGCTCCCAGTGCTGCTGCAGTGTAGATGCCACGATGTGTGTTCCAATGCCATGTGGGTCCCAGGGCCATGACATGGATCCCAGTGCATCCACAATGTGGGACTTGGTGACACAAAGTGGGTGCCAGGGCCATGGTGTGGGTGTCAGAGCCATGATGTGGGTTCCAATGCCATGGTGTGCATTTCAGTGCCACAGTGTGGGTGCCAATGCCATGGGGTAGATGCCAGTGCCATGGTGTGGATGGCAGTGCCACCGCGGGGGGCCCAGTGCCCCGTGTGTCCCAGTGTGGGTGCCAGTGCCACCTCCCAGTGCCCCGCGTGCCCCAGTGCGGTGGCACTCGCCATCCCTCCATTGTTCCACCCTTTGAAGTCGCTGTTTCCTGGCGGGTTTGTCCCGGCCCGCCCGTGCCGGTGCTTCCCAGCCATAAATCACCCAGCACGGGGGCTCAGCACCCGCGTGCCCGCGGCCTCAGCCTGGCAAGGGGCTCCCACCGAGCCCACCTGCACCTGGGACCCGCCAGGGCAGGGCAAGGACTCCCTGGAGCCCCGTGGAACCATCAGCAAGGACATCACAGCGATCCCTTCCCCGTGGGCCTCGCGTCCCCCCTGACTCCCCATGGTATAACAAGGTGTGGATAACCCCGGGACGAGGATTTGGGGCAAATCACAGCGAGATTGGGAGTGCCCACGACAGCCCAGCCCGTGTGCCAGGGCTCAGGCGGGTCCCTGCGCTCCTGTGGGGCTGCCCCCAGCGCCCCGAGGCTTCCGTCCGGGCGCAGCGCTGACGGCACGGCCGTTCCCTCCGCTATTCCAGCATTTCCTGGGGTTTATTGTCTTTCCCTCGCTGTCCCACCTTCCTCGCAGGAAGCCCTTCGTCCCACGGGGCTGGCGGCTCCGTTAGCAGCAGGACGGCGCTCCCGGCCCCCTCCCCATGGGCAGGGGCACAGCCGGTGTCCCGGGAGCTGCTCAAGCCCCCAGCCCTGCTCAGAGCCCGGTACCGGGGGGCACCACGCCGCTCTGAGCTCCCATCACGGCCGTGCCGGTGTCGGTACCGGGGTCCCAGGGCGGAGAAGAGGCTGGGGACTGTCCCCAGAGCCCGTCTCCAGCCGGGGGGATGTGTTCTGTCACGGCTGTCGCCCACCGGTCCCCTGATCCCTAAAACAATTTGGGCTCGTTATGGCAACGCCGTCTGCCGGAGTGTGGTCCCGGCAGGGAGGGGCCGTGCCGCCATCACCCCGCGGCTCCGGCCGCCACACCGGGCTTCCGCCGCGGGACCGGGGCTGCAGAGACGTGGGGGAGCCCGGCAGGACCAGGGGGTGCTCCTGGAGGGGTGAACCGGGGCGTGCTCCCTCCCCATCCCCGCCTCATCCCATCCCCATCCACATCCCTGTGTCCGTTCGATCCCCATCTCCACCTCATCCTCATCCTCATCCCATCCTCATCCTCATCCATCCTCCCGCTCTTCCTGCACCCCCCGGACCCCCACACCCCCCCGGGCGGCAAATTCCAAAGGGCACCCGGGAAGATTAATGGCGGGGCCGGGGCCGGGGCCGGGCCGGCCGGTAACCGGATCGCCCCGCGGGAGCAGGAATGCGCCGCTGACCATCCCCATCTCCACCTCATCCTCATCCCATCCTCATCCCATCCTCATCCTCATCCATCCTCCCGCTCTTCCTGCACCCCCCGGACCCCCACACCCCCCCGGGCGGCAAATTCCAAAGGGCACCCGGGAAGATTAATGGCGGGGCCGGGGCCGGGGCCGGGCCGGCCGGTAACCGGATCGCCCCGCGGGAGCAGGAATGCGCCGCTGACCCCGCCGTGCCCGCCAGGGTCCCGCCACGCGGGGTCACCACGGGCTCGGTCACCACGGGCACCGCGCAGCCCCTGCCCAGCCAGGGACACCCCGCTGTCCCCAAACCCCGTGGGGCTCCGTCCCCGCGTCCCCAATCGCAGAGACGCGTCCTGGGGACAGGCGGTGTCCCCGAGGTCTCTGGGGTGGGGTGACACACTCATCACGCTTTGCTCGGGGGTGGGTGACACGTGCCACCCCCCTGCCCACATCCAGAGGACGCCAAGAGCCACCTCCTCTACCCACAGCAAGACGGGCACCGGGGGCTGCATCTCCCTCTTCTCGGCCATCCTCGGGGGAGCAGAGAGCCCTCCTGCAGCCCCGCGGCAATGGGGACACCCGGTGCCGTGCCGTGCCGTGCCGTGCCGAGCCGCGGGGGCTGCAGGCGGCGGGCCCGGAGCAGCTGTCGGGTCTAAAGTTACGGTGGCGGCTGGGGGCGGGGAGCGCGGCCCGGAGCGGGACAGGGTCCCCGCGGGGGTGTCCTCGCTCGGGGTCCCGCTGTTGTCGCACCCCGAGGGTGCGGACCCCGCCGGGCGGGGAGGATGCAGGACAGACCGGGGCTAAGAATAGCGCCGGGCTGGGAGCGGGAGGAAGGATGGGGCTTCCTCTGCGACGCCTCTTCTTCCTCCTACCCGGCTCTGCCAGGCAGCACGTGTGACACGGGGACGCTCCGAGTGCCACCTGCCCCCCCCACCCGCGCTGTCCCCCGTCCCCAGTGTGACATCCGCAGTGTCCCCTGGAGCACCCACCCACCCGCGGCCCCTACGAGTGCCACCCCCGCCGCTGTCACCCCCCCGCCGCCGCCGCCGCGTTTCGTTGCACTTCACTTTAATTAACCCCGGGGCGCTGCCTCGCCGGGGTTAATGGCAGCGGTGACCCGCGCGGCCATCGATCCCCCGAGCCCCGCGCCGCGCTCGCAGCCACGGACGGGCCCCCTCGGGGGTCCTGCGGGATGACAGGGGCGTGTGCCCCCCCTCCCCTTCAATGCTACGCATGGCAGAGCCGCGCAGGACGCCCGCGGTGCCCCCACGCTGCTGCCAGCGCTGTGGGCACACACTGCTCGAGGTGTCCCCAGCCAGGTTTAGGGGTGGCCCCGTAGTGGCGCTGGTGTCACATCCCCCCCTCCTCACTGGGGACCCCCTCCCGGTTATTCAGTGCCCCCGTGGCCGTGCCAAAAGCGGGGTCCCGCCCCCCTGCAGTCCCCGCAGCCCCCTCGCTGCCCAGGTGCCCCTGTCACCCCTCCGCGCTTTAATCCGGGGCTCGTTCATCTTGGGCGGGGGCCGGGCTGTCAACGCCCAGACGGGCCATTTCCGAGCCGAGTCCCCCGCGCTCAGCCCTAATTGAATCCTCATGGCCCCGCCGCCGCCCCGGCCCCGCCGCGGCACCCGCCACCGGCCCGCTGCCCGCCGCGGCCCTCCCGGTGCCACGCCGAGCCTGGCGCTGCCCCACGCCGGGCACCACCCGGGGGCACTCGGAGCCCCCCCGTCCCCCGGCACAGAGACCCCCGCTCGGTGGGCAGCGATCCCCGGAGGGGATCCCACGCCCCCCCAAACCCCCAGGTCAGCCCTGGACGGACCCCAGGGGGGGTCCCAGCGGGTCCCTCTGCTGGGACGGGGTTCGGGGAGCCCCCCCTATCGCGGCCGTGCCGTGCGGGGGTCAGGGGGCGTGGGCGGCCCGGCGGGGGGGCAGCGGCGTTTGCTGCAGCCGGAGCCTTTGAAATGCAACCCCCCCGCCCCCGCCCCCGGCCCATTTGGCTGGAGTTTGGCCCAGGCACAAATGGAGGCCCCGGAGCGAGCAGGGGGTTGCGGGGGGGCGCGGCAGCTGGGCCCGGGGCCGGCGGGACCCGCTGACCCCGGCCGGTGCCTGGCACCGGCACTGGTGTCCCCGCGTGTGTGTGTGATCCTGCACACGCGTGTGGCGGCTCTGGGTGTGAGCTGGAGTGGTCGTGGGCCCTGCACGCACACCTGGGCACAGCCGCACACACCTGCACGCAGCCGTGCCCGCACACGCGGCTGCCAGGAGCCCGCTGGGGTGGCTGTGGCCACACGGACACACGGGCGTGGGAGCCGTGGAGGCGTGTGCCGGGCCCCGTGTGTCCCCAGCCCTGCGCTGTCCCCATGCCCCCATCCCATCCCCATCTCATTTTCTCTCATCCTGTCTCATCCCAGTTCCATCCCATCCATCCCATCCCATTGCATTTCCTCCAATCCACATTTTATCCCACCCCATTTCATGCCAATCCCATCCCAAATCATCCCAATTCTTCCCATCTCAATTCTGTTCCATCCATTCCATCCCACTGCATTTCCTCCCCATCTCATTTTATCCCACCCCATTTCACCCCAATTCCATCCCATCCCAAATCCTCCCAATTCTGTTCCATCCATCCCATGCCATCGCATTTCCTCCCCATCTCATTTTATCCCACTGCATTTCATGCCAATTCCATCCCATCCCAAATCATCTCAATTCTGTTCCATCCCATCCCATCCATCCCATCCCATTGCATTTCCTCCCCATCTCATTTTATCCCACCCCATTCCATCCCAATTCCACCCCATCCCAAATCATCCCAATTCTTCTCAATTCTGTTCCATCCACCCCATCCAAACCCACCGCATTCCCCCAATTCCATCTCATCCCAAATCATCCAAATTCTTCCCACCTCAGTTCTGTTCCATCCCACCCCATCCCATTAATCCCACCCCACTCCCGCTCGCTCCCCGGTGCCGTGGCTGCTCGGAGCCCCGCAGCGCGGGGGCCGATGCCGCTCCCGTTAATGAATCGATGATTTGCCAACAGCCCCAGGGAGGGATCCCGGTCTCCCCTGGCTCCCCCGGCACATCCATCCCCGTTCACCGGAGCCAGGTGTAATCCCATTATTCCCGGCTCCGCCGAGGTCCCAGCCCAGCGCAGGGTCAGCATTTATTGCCAGTAATTGCTGGGGTCCCGTCCCCCGGCGCGGGGGGGCTCCCGGCACCCCCCCGGCGCTGCCGCCGCTCCTTACACTTTAATTCCGCTCCGAGCTGTTCCCTTATTAAAGGAAAATTCATTTGCCAGCGATTTCCATGTGCCGGGGCCGCGCGGGGCCGAGGCCCTAATCGCGTTACGGAGCGCTGCGGCGCGATATTGGGATGGAGCCGATAAATAATGGAGCAGGGCGGCGCGGGGGGGAGGCGCGTTCCGGGGGAGCCGCACCCCGAACTGCGTTACCCCGCGCTGCGCCGGCACCCCAGCGCCCTGCTCCTGACACCCCAGCACTCCCAGCACCCTGCTCCTGACACCCCGGAGCCCTGACACCCCAGCACCCTGATCCTGACACCCCAGCACCCTGATCCTGACACCCCAGCACCCTGATCCTGACACCCCTGGCACCCCGGAGACCCAGCACCCTGCTCCTGACACCCCGAGCACCCCAGCACCCTGCTCCTGACACCCCTGGCACCCCAGCGCCCTGCTCCTGACACCCCTGATACCCCAGCACCCTGCTCCTGACACCCCTGGTCCCCCACCACCCCGCTCCCTGTCCCGGCTGCAGGAATACCCGGCCACGGCAGCCCCCGAGATGGGGGTGCTGGGTGGGGGGACACGGCAGCAGCCCCAGCTCCAGCACCAACACCCCTCGGTGTCCCCTCATACGTGGATGACACAAGCCCGCTCACATGTGCACACTCATGAACACACACACAAACACACGCGTGTGCCCCGGCGCTGCTCACGGCCGGGGACGGGGCCTGAGGGGCTGGGAGGTGGCCCCAGACCTCCAGGACACCCCCAGGGACACCCCCGGGGCGGAGGAGAGGGACAAAGGCGGGGGCTGCCAGGGCCACAGCGGGGGCAGTGCCCCGGGGTGCCCCCAGCCCCACGCCGTGCCCGTGCCCGTCCCCTCGGGCCCCGGGCCAGCGCCGGGCACTGTCCCGGCTCCGCAGGATGCCAGGGCCACAGCGGGGGCAGTGCCCCGGGGTGCCCCCAGCCCCACGCCGTGCCCGTGCCCTCGGGCCCCGGGCCAGCGCCGGGCACTGTCCCGGCTCCGCAGGAAGCTCCCGTGTTCCTGCGAAAGCCCCGAGGGCTCGTTTGGTTCCCACCCTGTGGCCTGCTTTGGGGTGAGAAGCGTTTCCCATCCTGTGTTCCCGGCAGCTGCAGCCAGCACTTCCCACCCCGGGGGGAGGCCGGAGGGGTCGGGCAGGGTTGGGGGGGGCTCAGCCCACCCCAGAAATGCCCCAGCGGCCGCCTCGGGACACGAGTGGGGGCTCTGGGAGGGAAGGAGGTGCCAGCACCGTGATCGGGGAGCAGGGATCCACCGCAGCCGCTGAAGAGCAGGGTGGGGATACCGGGGGGCTGACGAGAGGGTGACCCCCCATCCATCGGGGTGAGCAGCACTACCGGGCTCCTGCAGACCCCCGGTGGCAGCGCTGCCGCATTCCCAGCCCGGCATTCCCGGGATCCCGGCGGAGCCGGAGCGTTCCAGAGGGGTTTGCTCAGCGGCTGGGGGGCAGCTCCCACCGGCACGGGGGCACGGAATCACCGCCAGCAGCCATTTCCCTCTGTGGGCGCTAAAACAGCGCTGAGACCGCGGCGTTCCCATGGGGCTGGGACCCCCGGGGACGGCTGGGACCCCCGGGAAGGGCCGGGACCCCCGGGAAGGGCCGGGACCCCCGTTCCCTGCTCACCGGGCCCTGTGGCCGGCACGGTGGCCTCATTCCAGCGCTGCTGCTGGGAGGGACAGGGCTCCCAGGGCTCCATCCGAGCTGGCAGCCCCGCTGGGGGGTGGGAGCGGGGGGGTCCCAGCTCGGGGTGGGCTCCGTCCCCCGGCGAGAGCCGGCGGCACGCGCGGCCGCGGCGGCTCCGCCATCTCCCCGCGCCCTGCGGAGAGGACAAAAGCCGCGTGCGAGGAATCCGTGCAAACGCCGCCGTGCCCGGCACGCCGCCGTGCGAGGGGCCCCGTGTCCCTCTCCCAAACCGAGCCCCCTCCCCACCCCACCCCCCGCACCCGCCGGCCTTTAATTGCTCCGGCTGCTGGGAAATTTCAAGGTTGAATTTGTCAAACTCCGATTTCCAGCCGGGAGATCGCGTTCTGCCTTTGTCAGCAAGATTGGAAAAATCCCCCCCACTCCCTCCCGCCCCCTCCCCACTTCCATAATCCTGGCATGGGCGCTGCCGGATCCCCCTGCACCTGCTCCCCCAGGCCGGCTCCGTGCGCTCCCCCCGCCCCGTCCGCAGGTTCATTACCGCCGTGACCCCCGTGACCCCGCCGTGTCCCCGATCCCAGCGGCAGAGCCACGGGGACCCCCGGCGGGATTGGGGCCGGGGGGTGCCGAATCTCCTCCCCGGCATCCCCCGGCCCCAAAGCCGCCGGGTGATCCGGACGCGGCGTCGCCAGCCGGGCCTCACCTGCGTGTGCGGCATCCCGGGATTTTTACGAGCGGCCGAAATCCCGGAGCTATTTGTACCGGGAAAGGGCAGCGGGAATGTGCCGGGGGTAAGGGGGGGGCGGGTGGATTTATGGCTCTGAAACCCAAAACCCACCCAAAAGGGCTTAATCACTCCCAGCCGCGGCCCCGATGCTTTTATGGGGCATTTTAGAGCAAAAGAGCCAATAAATTTTTTGGGTGAGGGTAAGAGCAGCGGTGAGGATGAGGAGGGAGCGGAGGAGGAGGGGGGACCCACTGGGGTGGGTTAAAATGGGGGAGACAACCGGGGGAAGGCGCGGGGCTGCGCCCCGGTAGTGGCGGAGAGGGGTCGGTCCCCCCCCCTCGACAGGGGGGGCGTCGGTGGCTCCTCCTCCTCCTCCTCCCGGTATCCCGGGGCTTTAAGGCGGTGGAACGGGAATCGCGGGGCTGGGGGGGCCGCCGGGAGCGGGCACCGGGCACCGGGCAGGTGGCGGGGCGGGAGGGCGGTGGGGAGGCCGTGGCGAGGCCAGGGACGTCCCGCGTCCCCCGTCCCGGGAAGTTTCCTCCTCGTCCCAGAGGGGCGAGCGCGGCTGGGAGGCCCGAGAAGGCGCCGGTGCTCGGCCGGGACACCGGGGACACGCGGCAGCCTCAGTCCGAAGGGACGGAGAAGTCCCGGGGCCGGACACCGGGAACCGGAGCGAGCCCCGGCCCCGGTGAGCCGCCACGGGCACCGGAGCTCCGCGAGAACCGGCAGCGCCGGGGCCGGCAGCTTTACCGGGAGCCGCGGCACCGGGCGGTGGATCGGCGCTGCCGAGTCGTGACCGTGACCGTGACCGAGCGCGGCGGCCGAGCGGCGGATCGGGCCCGCCGGCAACGGAAACCCGGTACCGGCCCCGAGCCTCAGCGGGAACGGCGGCTCCGACCGCGGCTCGGCCTGCCGGAGCAGCCCGGTACCGGCGGGGTCCGGCACGAACCCGCCCCACATCTCGCGGGCTCGGCCGAACCGGGAGGACGAACAGACAGCGCGGACACCGACAGACAGCACGGCGCCTCCGGGAACGAAAAAATCCGTTCCTGTGTTGGAGAGACAGACACGGACGGACAGATCGTGCCTCCGGGATTAACGGAAAATCCCGCACACGGAGGGACACACGGACAGGCAAAGCTCGACCTCGCCGGGAATGAATAAAACCGTTACCGGGTCGGACAGACCGAAAAAGGGTCCGGTAATTAACGCAGAAAAATAATTACCGTCCTTGACTGAGACGGACAGCGAGGGTCTCCGTGATTAACGTGGAAAAAAAAAATATTACCGGGAGGGACAGACCGACAGTCACGGCAGAGCAGCGTGCCGGTAATTAACGGATTCGGTTGGGCACAACGCGACTCACGCCGGTAACGAAAAACCCTCCGGACAGACGGACACGGGCCGCTGGATCAGCCCTCCCGTGAGTAACCGAGCCTTCGTTACCGGCCGGACAGATGGACGAGGACGGAGCCAGACTCCGGTAATTAACGGGGAAAAAAATATTCCCTAATTACGGAGAGGTGCTCCGGTAATTAAGGAAGCCACCACAGCGGGCAGACAGACGGACAGACAGAGCCGCGATCCTGCGATTAACGAATAAAGCAGCCCGTTAACGGGCGGACAGACGAACACAACGGGCACGCCTCGGGCGCCCGGTTTTAAGGTAAAAACCCCCGTTATCGGACGGACGGACACGGCAAGGAACGAAATAAGTGAGCGAAAATATCCCATTACCGGCTGGACAGACGGACAGGAACGGGGCAGAAAAAATCCCTTTTCCGGGACGGACAGACGGACAAAACCGGGGCCGAGCGGGGCTCCCGGAATTAAGGTAAAAAGGCCCGTTACCGGACGGACAGATCGACAGAAAAATCGAAAAAAAGAATTAACGAAATAAATCGTTACCGGGTGAACAGAGGGATAAAAACGGGAGCGAGAGCGGCTCCCGGGGCGGAGGTAAATTCCCGTTACCGGCCACACGGACGGACAGACACGGGACTGATAAAATTAACGAAAAATCTCGCTGCCGGCCGGACAAACACGGGAGCGATCGGGGCTCGCGTGCAGCTCCGGTACCGGCCGGACAGACGGACACGGCCGAGCGGGGATCTCGGAATGAACCGAACCCGGTGGCGAACCGGCCGCCGGTAACGGCGGGACCGGCGGACAGATGGCGGTGCCGGTAACTCAGGTAAAGCCTCGTTACCGGGACAGCCCCGGCTTCCGTGATCAACGAACACGCGACGGAAGGACGGACTGACAACGGAGCGGTCAGGGCTCCCTGAGCGGCGGTAAATCCCCGTTACCGGCACGGACGGACGGACAGAAACGGGGCCGATCGGGGCTCCCAGAGCGGAGGGGAAGCCCCGTTACCGGACCGGCGGATCGGGTTTTCGTGCCGTGCTACCGGGACGGACCCACGGACTCTGCCGGGACCGCCCGGGGCTCCTCTACCGGGCGAGGAGCGGAGAGACCCCGGGAGCCAGCGGTGTTACCGGGGACGCACGGCCCGAGCGAGCCGCGCTACTGAGAGGCGGCTCGGTGCCACCGGCAGCGGCGGGGCTGGAACGGACCGGGGGCCGGAGCGGGAAGGAGATCGGGACAGCGACCGGGATCCCGGCGGCGGCGTGCAGCCGTGCTCGGGGCGGCGATCCGCGTTCCCGGGGTCGCTTGGGGCAGCAGCGGCGGCACCGGGACCGGGAGAGGCGACGGGACCGAATCTGGGGAGCAGCACGGTCTCCTGGAATCGCAGAGAAGGAGGATCCCGGTTCTCCACCGAGACTCCCGGTTCCGTTCCGGGCTCCCGGAGCGCCGCCGGGGGAACACGGGTGTCTCAGCCCCGGTCGCAACGGGGGCGGCTCCGGCACGGCCGCGGCCGCCGTAGAACGATGAGTCCCGGCCTCCGGTGCCGGCCGCGGGTCGGTTCGCTCGGTTCGGTTGGGCACGACTCGGTTCGTTTCGAAGCGGGCCGGTTCGCCTCCGTTCGACCGGGACACGGCGGGGCCGGTGCCGCTGCAGTTACCGGTGCCCTCAGGTCGGGACCCGCCGTGCCCGGGCCGGGTCCCGGTGCGCGTACCGGTGTCTTTGACACGTCGAGGCCCGCGGTGCCGGTGCTGCCCGGGTCCCGGTGCCGGTACCCTGCCCCACAAACCCTTCCCCGCCGGCATCCCGGTGCTGCTGCCCTTCCCGGTGCCGTTCCCGGTGCCATGCCCTGCCCCCGCAGGCCCTGCCCAGCCGGGCTCCCGGTGCCGTTCCCGGTGCCGCTGCCCGGTGCCGGTGCCCTAACCCCGCTGTCTCCGCAGGTCCGTCCCCGCCGGGCGCCCCGGGCCCGCGCCCTCCGTGCAGGAAGCGCCGCAAGTCCCGCACCGCCTTCACGGCGCAGCAGCTGCGGGAGCTGGAGCAGCGATTCCGGCGGCAGCGCTACCTCTCCCCGGTGGACCGGGACGCGCTGGCGGCGCGCCTGGCGCTCTCCGCCGCCCAGGTCATCACCTGGTTCCAGAACCGCCGCGCCAAGCTCAAGCGGGACCTGGAGGAGCTGCGGGCGGACGTGGCCTCGCTGCAGGCGCTGCCCCCCGCCGCCCTGCAGCAGCTGGCGGGGCTGCCCGAGCCGCCGGGGGCTCCCGGTACCGGCACCGGCACCGCCGAGCCCGCCGAGCTCTCGGAGGAGGAGATCGACGTGGCGGACTGAGCCGAGCGCGCTCGGCTCCGTTCGGCTCCACTCGGGACCGAGACCGCTCCGTTCGGATCCGCGCGGCTCCACTCGGCCCGGCTCGGCTGAGTTCGGATTCACTCGGGTCGGTTCGGGCCGAGACCGCTCCGTTCGGGTGCGCTCGGCTCCGTTCGGGTGCGCTCGGTTCCAAAAGGAGCCGAGCCCAGCCCCGCCCCCTCCGTGCACCCTTTTGAGGCTTTTATTATTATTTTTTCTTTTTTTTTTTGGTTCGTCTTTCCATTGTTTGGTTGTTTTTTCTTTGTTTTTTTTAAATTTTATTTTCTATCGGCCCCGGTGTAAATATTTGCAATAAAGGCAACACCTTAATATGGACCCCAGAGCTCTCCACGCCCCCCCATTTTTCCGGGCCAGCACCTCCCACCGCGGGCATTAATTTGTTTTAACCGGTGATTAATTACCGGCTGCGGCCGCCCCTGCCCCCCTCCATTTGCATATTAATCAAATTGTATTTGATCTCACGCCTGTCACACCCCCACCTTTTTTTGTTTTTTTTTTTTTTTTTTTTAATTTTATTTTCTATCGGCCCCGGTGTAAATATTTGCAATAAAGGCAACACCTTAATATGGACCCCAGAGCTCTCCACCCCCCCCCATTTTTCCGGGCCAGCACCTCCCACCGCGGGCATTAATTTGTTTTAACCGGTGATTAATTACCGGCTGCGGCCGCCCCTGCCCCCCTCCATTTGCATATTAATCAAATTGTATTTGATCTCACGCCTGTCACACCCCCACCACATCCCCCCGAAGCTCCTGTCACCAAGCAGTGACATTAAGGGGGGGTGGAGACCCCTCCTCGCTGTCCCCCGGGGCCGCAGTGACATGGGGAGGGACACAGGGGGACACAGGGGGACTGCAGCACTGGGGCTCCAAAACTGCGAGGGAGAGAGATGAGAGACACCAGCCCAAAGGAAGGCCAGAGAGAAAAACAAATCTCAGATTTATTTAAAGGAAAAAAAAAAACAAAACCCAAATTGCTACAAATCCCTGAGGGGCCCCGGGGAACAGCCCAGGCCCACCCGCTCAGCACGGGGGGCTGCAGGGTGGGCACCCCCAAGGCGGGAAGGACAGACACCCACCCCTGGCAGTGGGGGACAAGGCACAGGCAGGTGAGGGGGGCTGCCAGGGACCCCCCAGCAGGGCAGGGTCAGCTGAGCAGCCCCTCGGGGGCGGCCTTGCCCTTGGCACGGGGCACGGGGGACGGCGTGGCGTGCACCGGGTGCTTGAGCTGCAGCAACAGCTCGCTGCCCTCCAGCGTGGCACCCTGCGGACACAAGGGGCTGGCACCACGACAGCGTGGCCCAGGGCCACCTGAGGGGTGCAGCGGGGTCCCACAAGTCCCCCCCAGCTGACCTGCATGGCCCTGAAGGCCTCCTCGGCCTCGGCTCTCCCGCGGAAGTTGATGAAGGCACAGTGGCGCCCCGGGAGCAGCCGCACGGAGCGGATCTCCCCAAACCAGGGGGCACAGACCCCAAAATGGGGACAACGGTTAGAGATCCCTAAATGGGGACATGGAGGGTTAGAGCCTCCCAAACCTAGGGGGCACAGACCTCAAAATGGGGGGACAACAGTTAGGGACTCCTAAATGGGGAGGTGGGGGGTTGGAGACCCCCAAACCTGGGGTACACAGACCCCTAAACGGGGGGAGATGGGGGGGTTGGAGAGCCCCAAACCTGGGGGTACAGACCCCCCAAATGGGGGGAGAACAGTTAGAAATCCCTAAATGGGGAGGTGGAGGGTTAGAGAGCCCCAAACGTGGGGGGCACAGACCCCCAAATGGGGGACAACAGTTAGGGACTCCTAAATGGGGAGGTGGAGGGTTGGAGACCCTGAAACCTGCGAGGTGGGAGGGTCAGAGACTCTCAAACGTGCAAAGCAGGTTTAGCAACCCCCAACTGCTGGGGAAGGGTGAAAGACTCCCAAAGATGGAGAGACTGAGACGCCCCCAAATCTCCAGGATGGGGCAACAGAGACTCCCAAAGCTGAGGAGGAACAGTTAAAGACACCCCAAACTGTGGGATAGAGACCCCCAAACCTGGGGGGTCAGACACTACACCCCATGCATCCCCTGCAGATGAAAACCACCAGAGAACGAGGACAGGGACACAGCTGGGGAGCCTGGGGGTCACCAGGGGGTGCCAGGGGCTCACCAGGGGGTGGCAGGGGCTCGGGGGGTCACCAGGGGGTGGCAGGGGCTCGGGTCCTGCAGCAGGAGCAGTCCTGGGGGTCACTCACCGGCCGAAGGCACGACGCAGCACCTTCTCAGTGATCTGGGAGGTGACGTTGCCCACCCAGAGCGGGAAGCAGTCCCTGCCAAGAGCCATGCTGGTGTCACCAGAGCCAGCAGCGGCCCTCTCTGAGCCCCCTCCCAGAGGAGCAGACCCCCGTACCTGGCGGGGTGGCTCGGTGGCAGCGTTGGGCAGCCACTGGCCACTGCAGGTGCCCGTTCTGGGTTTTTTGTGGGGCTCCTGGCACTGCTGCCCGTCACGCTTTTGTCACCCGTGTCCTGGCAGCTCCTGCTTGTCCATCCTGCTGCCGAGGGGCCAAAGGGGTTCGGCACCCACTGGGGACTCAGGGATAGCCCCGGGGTCCCCCCAGCCCACCCACCCCTGTCCCTTACCAGGGAGAAACAGCGGCTCCTTAGCCTTGAGCAGGAAGGGGGACACGGGGACACCCCCGGGGCGGCTGCACTGCTGTGAGGGGACAGGGGTGAGGCGTGGGGGGCACAGCAGGACGGGGGGCAGGGGCTAGGGGATTGGGATGGGGGGGTCTCACCTGCAGCTGGGCCCGGCAGGCCTCCAGCTGCGTGGCTGCCTCGGCGTAGGCCGCGTCCTGCAGCAGCAGCTCCTCGAAGGTGCGCGCGGCCTCGGCGAAGCGCTGGGGGCCACAGGGCACCTGCAACCCCCTGCCTGGCCCCACGGGCACCCCAGAGCCCCCAGCCAGCCCGGCTGGCACCCCTCAGCCCCCTGCCCACCCCACCAGCACCCCAAAACCCCCAGTTTGTCTCCAACAACACTGAAAGCCCCACACTCACTCCTAGAACCCAACAGCCCCTCACCCAGCTATGCCACCCAGCCCTCCTGCAGTCCCCCCCCAGACTCCAGCCCCCTGCACATTCCCTGGAGCCCCCCCCAGGTACCTGGAGCCCCCCCCAGGTACCTGGAGCCCCCTCAGGGCCTTGCCCTTGCGGAAGGAGCCCTTGGGCCAGCCGGGCTGCAGCGCCAGCGCCGCCTCCGCGTCCGCCAGCGCCTCCTCGTAGCGGCCCAGCTTCTCCAGGCAGTAGGAGCGGTTCCCCAGGAGCCTGAGGGGACAGGGGTGTCACTGAGGGCTGGCTCTGCCACTCCAGGACCCCCCCAGCTCAGCCCCGAGCCCCCGTGCTCACCGGTGCTCGCGGGGGTTCAGCTCCAGGGCGACGGTGAAGGCCCACACGGCCTCGGTGTGCTGCCCCATCTGGGCTGCCTCGATGCCATGGCCTGGCAGGGGACACGGGGAGGGCTGTGAGGGCACAGGGGGGGACAGGCCCCCCAGCACAGCCCCTCTGAGCTGGGGGAAGCTCCCCAAAGCCCTTCCCTCGCCCCTCTGCACCGACCTGCAAGCGCCAGGCTCTGCTCGATGGTGCCGGGGCTGGGCGGCCTGGCCTGGAGGGGCTGGGGGGACACGGGGGGTGTCACTGAGGGCTGGCTCTGCCACCCCAGGACCCCCCCCAGCTCAGCCCCGAGCCCCCGTGCTCACCGGTGCTCGCGGGGGTTCAGCTCCAGGGCGACGGTGAAGGCCCACACGGCCTCGGTGTGCTGCCCCATCTGGGCTGCCTCGATGCCATGGCCTGGCAGGGGACACGGGGAGGGCTGTGAGGGCACAGGGGGGGACAGGCCCCCCAGCACAGCCCCTCTGAGCTGGGGGAAGCTCCCCAAAGCCCTTCCCTCGCCCCTCTGCACCGACCTGCAAGCGCCAGGCTCTGCTCGATGGTGCCGGGGCTGGGCGGCCTGGCCTGGAGGGGCTGGGGGGACACAGGTCCCTCCACGGGGTCCCCACTTCCCTTCTTGGGCGCTTTCCTGCTTGGCTGCACGTTCTGCGTGCCCGGGGAGCGCTCGCTGCCCGGGGGGGGCAGCCGGACCCCTGCCTTCTCCCGTGCTTTGCAGACAAAAGTGCAGCTCAGGTCCAGCTCCTCCTGGGGAGGCAGGGAGGGGTGGGATGGGCAGGCAGAGCCCTGGGACCCCCCCACCCCCACGGGGAGACCCTCCCTCACCTCTGGCACTGCTGTGTCCTCCGGGCCAGGCTCTCCTGAGGACACTGTGGAGTCCCCAGGGCACGGGGAGGGCTCTGGGCAGCATTCCTCATCCTCAGCACCATCTGAGGGGGGCCCACTGCCTGCAGGGCCACTTGGGGGGCTCTGCAAGAGGAAGGAAGGGGTGAGGTGACAGGGCAGGGGCTGCTGGCTGGGCCCCACCTCTGGGCACCCCTGGAACAGCAGGGGCAGGCCGGACTGGTCACTCACGGGGTCAGTGTTCTCTTTGTTCTTCTGCTCTTGAACCAGTTTCTCCCGTTTCTTTCGGTCTTTTTGTTTCTGAGAAGAACATGAACCCAGAGCAGGTGTGAGGCAGAGAAATGCAGTCCCCCAGCCCCAGCCCCCAGCTCAGGGACCTGAGCAGTGCTGGCAGCACCCCAAGAAGAGGCAGTGTCCCCAACCCCCAGGAGCTGGCAGTGACCCTTCCCAGAGCTCACCCACCTTCTTCTTCAGCTTCTTCTTCTCTGCCTTCCTCTTGGCCCGCTCCTCCTCTGCCACCAGCTCCTGCGCGTTCCTCTCAGCTTCCTACAGAGGGGATGTCCTGAGTCAGGACAGCCCCGGGGACCCTCCGGTGATGTCAACCCCAGCCCCGGGGACACCGGGGGGCACTGCCCACCTCTGCCGTGAGCCAGGGCCGGCGGGCCGTGGGCAGCCGGTGCAGCCGCGCGTCCAGGGCGGTGGCAGCGGTGCGGGGCAGCGGCGGCGGCGGCTCCGAGCACAGGAAGGACTTGCGGAAGCCGCAGTAGCTGTAGGGAACGGCGCCCTCGGCCACGGCAACGTCCAAGAACGATAAACCTGCCTCCAGCTCGTTCTCGCCGTACTCGTAATCGTCGTCGCCGTCCTCATCGTCATCGGCCAGCGGGTAGTAATCCACCGAGGGGCCTGGCGGAGAACGGGGCGGGTGAGGAGTGTCCCAGGCTGCGGATCCCGGCAGCCCGCGCCCCGTTCCCGGTCTCCCGGCAATTCCCGGTAGCCCCCGCCCCACTCACTCACCGTCGTCCCAGAGCAGACACGCCTCGCCCCCCTCGCACTGAACCCCGCTCTGCGGGGCACCTTGCGGCGGCGCCGGCGGCTCGGCGAGGCTGTTCATACGGTGCCGCGGGCAGAAGGGCGCTGCGGGGAGAGAAAGCAGCCGTGAGGCGGAACCGGGAGCGGGCCGCGCTCGGTGCCCGCTCCCTTCCCGGCGCCGTACCGCCGCTCCAGCCGGCGGGGCCGAGCGTGCAGCCCCAGGGGCAGGCAGCGGGCCCGAGGCCGCCCGAGCCCCGCATCGCCGCACCGGGCCCGGGCGGTGCTGCGTCTCCATGGCAACGGGGCGGGGGGGCGTGGCCAAACGTGGCGAGCTCAGGGCGAGGGCGTGGCCACATCGGGAGGCGTGGTCAGTGCGGCGGTGGGCGGGGTCATGCGCGGCCCCGCCCCCGGGCCGGGGGTCCTGAGCCCCCTGCTCCCCTCCAGGTGGGCGACGCCGGCCTGGGCGGCCTCATCCTGCTGCTGCTGACGGCCCGGCCCGGCCCGGGCGATGGGGCTGCCCGCGGGGACCCCCCCGAGCCCGGTGAGAGCCCCGGGGGCTGCGGGGAGCACAAGGGGGTGCGGTGTTCTGGGGGGCTGCGGGGATCCCGCTGGGCTGCGTGGTTCTGGGGGGAGTGCGGGGGAACCTAATGGGGTCCAGGGTGTTTGTGGGGGGCATTGATGGAAGGCTCTGGTGACCCCAATGGGCTGTGGGGACCTGTGGGGAGCGTAATGGGGTGCCAGGGGTCTCAGGGTGAGGGTGGCAGTGGGACAGTGACAGTGACAAAATCAAACTGGGGGTCCCCGCCCTCCACCGTGGTCGCTGCCCCATGCTGAGGGTGCCGTGCCCCCAGGCGGGTCGCGGGGGCCGCTGGCACGCTCCCTGCAGCGGGCAGAGGCCATGCTGCGCAGCGTCACCCCGGGGCTGCGCCGCCTGCTGTCCCCACGGCCGAGCCGGCGCGGCGACACCGACGACGACGACGACGACGAGGACGAAGCGGCGTCCATCGTGGTGCCGCTGGAGCAAAGCTTCCCGGCGCTGCGCCGCTGCCTGTGCGTCTGGGAGGACCCCCGCACCGAGACCTTCCTGGGGTACGTGCGGCCCCACCCCGGCGGCGCCGGCGACTTCTCGGCGGACGCGGCGCGGCGGCGCGTGGCGGCGAGCCGCGCGCCTGGCCGGCCGCCGCCTCGAGGGACGCCTGCGGGAGCTCGGCCGCCGCGGCGGGCCTGCCCCGGCCTCTGAGCGCCTGGCTGACCTCTTCCAGGGGCTGGAGATCTACAACGGCGTGGTGCGGGGGCTGGCGGAGGAGCTGGGCCCCGAGGCGGAGGCCCCCGGCGCCTTCACGGTGGGCGGGGTGCTGCGGCTGCTGGCGGCCGAGCGGGGCCGGGCCGTGGCCCGGAGGCTCCGGCCGCTCCTGTGGCCGCAGAGTGGGGACATCAGGGATGGACGCGTCTGCTGGGAGGACGTGGTGCTGCCGTGGCCGCCGCGGCACGACGCGGCTGAGAGGGGCACGGGGGTGGGCACAGAACCTTCCGGAACAGAGGTGCCACCGGCGCTGGCGGCTGAGCTGCAGGCGCTGTGCCAGGAGGACGAGGAGCTGATGGGACAGGTTTTTGGGGCGCTGGTGGCCTCAGCTGACAGCCTGTGGCAGCCGGTGCTGTCCGAGAGCCCCGAGGCGCCGGGGCTGCGGCCGGGCAGCGCCGGCGGCTGGAAGGCCGTGCGGTGGCTGGATGCCGCCCGCGGCCCCGTGGCTGCTACCCTGAGCGCCCGCTACCGCCTGCTGCTCTGGGAAGCTGTGGGTGCCGCGCTGGGGGACAGCCCGGGCACCCCCCCTGCCACCCCCAGCGCCACCGTCAGCGCGGCGTGGGAGCTGAGCCGCGCGCTCGCCGTGGGTACGTGGGGGTACGGGGGGCGCGGGGCTCCCTGGGGGTGTCCCTGTGCCACCCCTGAGCCCCGCTGTGTCCCCACAGTCCGTGTGCCCGCTGAGTGCCGCGAGGAGCTGGGGCAGCTCTGCCTGCAGCTGCTGTGCCGGAGCGTGCTCTGCAGCTGGGACACGGGTATGGGGGGCACAGCGAGGGGTGCAGGGTGTGGGTTATGGGGTACAAGACGAGGGGCAGGGTGTGGGGTGCTCGGTGGATATGGGGTGAGGGAGTGGGGTGTGCTGTGAAGGGTTGGGTGTGGGGTTCAAGTGGGAGATGTTGGGTGTGAGGTGCACGTGGGGGATGTTGGGGCCTTCTGACTGTTTCTCCTCCAGATTTCACCCGTGCTCTGGGCTCAGGGCTGTCAGACAAGTGCTTGGAGACCCCGGGGGGGTCCCCGGGGCCGGGGTGCAGCCGCACAGCCCAGCAGCTCCGGTGCCTCTTCCCGGCCCTGGCGCTGGCCCTGCGCTGCCTGCGCCTGCTGCCCGCCCGCCCGCACGGTGAGAGGGGTCTGGGGAGGGGGGCAGGCGGCCCTGGGGACCCTCTCTCTGTGCTGACCCCCTCCCGCAGCCCCCCCCGGGGGTCTGTGCCTGCGGCTGCAGGTGCTGGGCCGCTGCCTGGCGGTGGTGGCGGCCGCCCACGCGTGGCTGACGGGCCGGGCCGGGCGGTACCTGGCGGCCTGGGCGCTGCCTCAGTTCCTGCTGCTCACCCAGGGAGACCTGCAGGTACGGGGGGCACGAGGGGCACGGGGGACACAGCGGGGCTGGGCTCACGCCGCCTGCTCCCCTCCAGGTGCTGAAGGCAGAGGCAGAGCAGCTGGTGCTGCAGGCGAGCAGGACCTTCCCGGAGCCAGGGGACATCCCTGGGGACAGCCCCCCTGAGCCGCTCCCCAGCCCCCCGGGATCCCCGTGGGAGCTCCAGCTGTGCCGGCAGATCCGCGACGTGGCCAACAGCATCCAGGTGTGGTGGCACTGCGGGAGCGTGGTGTGAGCACCGGGGTGCCTCTGTCACCCCGTGTCATCCCGTGTTACCCCGTGTCATCCCGTGTCCCAGCTCTTCTCCGGGGACGTGGTCTGGATGTTCTCCACCAGCTGCAAGCGGCTCTCAGCTGAGATCTTTGACCAGACGATGCCCCTGGGCCGGCACTGGCGGCTCGGGCCCCGCGCTGGTGGGTGTTGGGGGCTGGGGGGGCTCTGGGGGGGATTTAGGGGGTCGCTGAAGCGGGTCCCTGTGTCCCCCAGAGCTGCCCAGCTCCCCCAGCGCCTACGCGGCGGCCGCGGTGCAGGCGGTGCTGGGGCAGGTGCTGCAGGGGGCCCAGGCCCTGCCCCACGATGCCCAGGTGCCCACCCTGGCACGGGTCACCACGGCCTTCCTGGAGGCCTGGATGGATCACATCCTGACCCGCCGCATCAAGTTCAGGTACTGGGGACGGGGGGTGCAGTTCCAGGGGTCCCAGTGGCGTCCTGGGGGTGCCAGTGGTGTCTTGGGTGTCCCAGTGGAGTTCTAGGGGTCCCAGTGGCAGTTTCAGGGGTCCCAGTGGAGTTTTGGGGGTCCTAGTGGTAGTTTCAGAAGTCCTAGTGGCAGTTCCAGGGGTCCCAGTGGCAGTTTCAGAAGTCCCAGTGGTGTCCTGGAGGTCCCAGTGGTGTCCTGGGGGTCTCAGTGGGGCCCTGGGGGTCCCAGTGGCAGTTCCAGGGGTCCCAGGGGGTCCCAGTGGCGGTTTCAGAGGTCCCAGTGGTGTCCTGGGGGTCCCAGTGGCATCCTGGGGGTCCCAGTGGCAGTTTCAGAGGTCCCAGTGGCGTCCTGGGGGTCCCAGTGGCATCCTGGGGGTCCCAGTGGCAGTTTCAGAAGTCCTAGTGGCAGTTCCAGGGCTCCCAGTGGCATCCTGGGGGTCCCAGTGGCAGTTTCAGAAGTCCCAGTGGCAGTTCCAGGGCTCCCAGTGGCAGTTCCAAGGGTTCCAGTGGTGTTCTGGGGGTCTCAGTGGCAGTTCCAGGGGTCCCAGTGGAGTTTTGGGGGTCCTAGTGGTAGTTTCAGAAGTCCTAGTGGCAGTTCCAGGGGGTCCCAGGGGGTCCCAGTGGCGGTTTCAGAGGTCCCAGTGGTGTCCTGGGGGTCCCAGTGGCATCCTGGGGGTCCCAGTGGCAGTTTCAGAGGTCCCAGTGGCGTCCTGGGGGTCCCAGTGGCATCCTGGGGGTCCCAGTGGCAGTTTCAGAAGTCCTAGTGGCAGTTCCAGGGCTCCCAGTGGCATCCTGGGGGTCCCAGTGGCAGTTTCAGAAGTCCCAGTTGCAGTTCCAGGGGTCCCAGTGACAGCCCAGGGGCCCCAGTGGCAGGTTGGGCTTGCACTGGTGGTGTGCCAGTGCACGTCCTAGGGGCTCTGGTGACAGTGCCAGGGGTTATGTGGGGGTCCCGCTGATGCTGGTGGGGGTCTGATGGCAGCGCCAGCATCTCGGTGGTGGCAGTGCCAGGATCTCGGTGGTGGCCACAGCGTGGTGGAAGCGCCAGGGTCTCGGTGGCCACGGCGTGGTGGCAGTGCCAGGGGCTCCTGCCGGGGGTGTGTGCCCACGCTGTCCCCGTGCCAGCCTGCAGGGTGCCCTGCAGCTGCGGCGGGACTTCGAGGCGGCGCGGGAGCTGGTGTGCTCCGAGAGCTCCGGGCAGGTCCCAGTGGTGTCCTGGGGGTCTCAGTGGGGCCCTGGGGGTCCCAGTGGCAGTTCCAGGGGTCCCAGTGGTGTCCTGGGGGTCCCAGTTGCAGTTCCAGGGGTCCCAGTGACAGCCCAGGGGCCCCAGTGGCAGGTTGGGCTTGCACTGGTGGTGTGCCAGTGCACGTCCTAGGGGCTCTGGTGACAGTGCCAGGGGTTATGTGGGGGTCCCGCTGATGCTGGTGGGGGTCTGATGGCAGCGCCAGCATCTCGGTGGTGGCCACGGCGTGGTGGCAGTGCCAGGATCTCAGTGGTGGCAGTGCCAGGATCTTGGTGGTGGCCACAGCGTGGTGGCAGTGCCAGGACCTCAGTGGTGGCCACAGCGTGGTGGAAGCGCCAGGGTCTCGGTGGCCACGGCGTGGTGGCAGTGCCAGGGGCTCCTGCCGGGGGTGTGTGCCCACGCTGTCCCCGTGCCAGCCTGCAGGGTGCCCTGCAGCTGCGGCGGGACTTCGAGGCGGCGCGGGAGCTGGTGTGCTCCGAGAGCTCCGGGCTGGCCCCCGAGGCACGGCGGGCCCTGCGCGCGCTCTGCGTCTTCCGGCACACGGACACGGCCGTGCGGTGCCTGCTGCAGCAGCCGGGGGGGCCGGGGACAGCCCCCCGGGCATGGGGCAGCCTCCGGCGCTGCTGTGAGACACGGCAGGGATGGGGTGGGGTGGGATGGGATCCATGGGATGGGATGGGATGGGATGGGATGGGAGCCATGGGATGGGGTGGGATGGCATGGAGATGGAGATGGGAATGGGATGGGATGGAGATTAAGATGGAGATGGGATTGGATTATTGGATTTGGATGGATTGGAGGGGAGGGGATGGAGATTGGGATGGAGATTAAGATGGAGATGGGATTGGGATGGAGACGGGATGGGATGAGGTGGAGTGGGATTGGGATGAAATAGGGTGGAGTTGGGATGAGATGGAAATGAGATGGGATTGGGATGAAATAGGGTGGAGTTGGGGCGGTGATGAGATGGGAGTCGGATGGGATGAGGTGGAGTGGGACTGGAATGGGGTGGAGGTGGGATGAGACAGGGTGGTGTAGGGAGAATGGGACAAAGACTGACTGGGACAGGGAGATGGATGAGGATGGGAATGGGATTGGAATAGGGACAGGAACCCATATCAGAAGCAGGATCCGATGTACCATCCTATTAGTCTATCCAACCCATCCCAAACCTATCGGTCCCTTCCCAGGCTCAGACGAAGGCGCCCACCCCCTGGAAGCATCCATGGAGCCTGTCCCTGGCCTGGACCCTCTGGAGGGGCCGGGCCCGCTGCCGGGGACGCCCCCGCTGGCTGCGGAGGCCGATGGCCCGGCCCGGCCCGAGTCCCCGTTCCCGGGCGGCCAGCAGCAGTGGCTGTCCCTGCGGCTGCACCGAGCCCGCCGCTGGCGCGTGCCGGGGCTGCCGTGCGTCGGGAACAGCCCCGAGGGCTGACCCCCAATAAACCTGCAAACACCACGGCCCTGCCCGTGTCTGTGGGGTGTTGGGGTCTGCCATCCCTGGGGGTGATCCTGGCATTCCAGCTGGGACAGGATCGAATTGGAACTTCTGTGGGGAGACTGGTGGGGCTTGCAGGTCCTGGGGGTGCAGGGTGGGATTCCCTTGGGGGTCCTGGGGACACTGTGGGTGCACGGCTGGCGTTCCAGGGTGCTCCTAGGGAAGGCTGCGGGCCCTTTGGGTATCCCCGGAGAGGCTGGGGAGATCAGCGGGCATAAGGAGGAGCGTGGACCGTGTGGCAGTGCTGGCCGGGGACACCCGGCGGTGTCGCTGTCCCCTCGGGGCCGGTTTGGGCCGGGGGTCCCTGGAGGACTGAACCCGCGCGCGTTCCTCCCGCCCGCCAGGGGGCGCGCGCGGCCCCGGCCCCGCCGCAGCGGGCGCAGCGCTGACGTCACCAGCGCGACTGCCCTGATGGCGGGCGAGCGGCGGCGGCGCGGCGGGGATGGACCCCGGGAGCGGCCCCGGGAGCGGCTCCGCGACCGCGACCCGAAACTGCGGCAACAGCAAAAGCCCCCGCGGGGCTCCGGGCGGGGCCGGACGGCGCTGGCGCTCACGGCGGCGGCGGCGGCGCTGGCGCTGGCTGTGGCG